GAGTCACAAGATGTTCATAAGGACACGGCGCCTCAAACGACCGGGACATCCTCCGAGCGAAGAAGTACAAAGAAAAAGAGTGATCGGGCACGAGGAGATAGAGGAAGGAATAGATTTCCACAAGAAGTTTATAGGATTACAGAGATTAGCCCGAGCGGAGAGCCCTTAGCACCTCTAGAGGCGCTACCCAAATTTAGGGCCGCCATTGGATGGTTAGTAAAGGAAGAATTTGATATCACCTGGAGTGATTGGAGTATGGTGCCTCAAGGAAAGAGGAAGAATTGTTGGACTCGATTGTGCACTAAGTTTATTTTCCCTGAGGGAAACGAAGGTTTGGTCAAGGGTCATGTCATGAAGCGATTAGCAATATCATTCCGGGGCTATAGGCACGATATGAATAAAAAGTGGCTGCGAATAAGCGGGACCCAACGAAGCGGCACCCTATCACAAAGCAGCGATGGGGCACGTTTTAGTGTCATAAAAACTCCGACGACTCCAAGGCTAAGAGCCAAGCCGCCTCAAGACTTGCGAAGAAGAACAAATACCACCACCACCTCGGCAATTGGCGGTTACAAGACCAAGATTCCTAAATGGAGGCGTAAGACGAAGCAAAGAGGAGAGAGGGCAAGTTGGCATTGATGGATATAGTGCCGTAACGGTGCGAATTGGCTTCGCTCGGAAGGCAAACATCGAGAGCGATGAGATCTCCTGTCCCGATGAGATCAACCAGTTGCCGAGAAGGTTTTGGAAGCAACAAACCTAGAAAAGACAGGTGCCTTCAAGTCACAGAGGGAGAGGGACAGCCTTTCCCATGCTCTAGGTAACAAAATTATATTTTCCATTTTGTTCGAGTAAAATAGAAATCGACCGACATTAAATATCATGTTGTAGGTAACCCCGAGCATCCGTGTCGTATGCAGGCGCCTCATCCGAACCACCGGAAAGAAGGGTTTGGTGAAGAGTGGAAAGGCATGTATAAGAAAAGAGAACGACATAAGGAGCACATGAAGGATTTTTTTGAGCAGCAGGCTGCCAAAAAATTTAGGGATTTGATGGAAGACTTCGTTAAAAACCCTGATCCTGAAGTGATGAAGCGGTTGGCGGGAGCGATGGTTCCGCTCAACAGATGTCATCACAAGCTCCTTCATATATGCAAAGATGTCCCACTCAACCCTTGGGTAGCCGTGAGATGGCCACACAATCTATGCCCTTTCCAAGCGGTATAGCGTCAACATCAAATCAGGACCATTATCCAGTTGATGATATTGATAAACCTTGGCCTTGCTCATTGTTAATTGGATATGGCCTTAGGAATCAAAGATACAAAGCAAGTGGCCACGAGCAATGCCATCCACGGACGTAGGTTCCATGGTGTCGAGATGCAAGATGCATCTTTGCAGGGGTGGAAGTGTTGACGGTCGAGAGTGGATATGAAGATGACTTCATCGACATCCCGATCTCTCGAGGGTATAGAGAAGCTTGGACAAGCAATCAAGAACTTCATACAATGGCCGAGACGGTACGTAAGGTTGATTGATCCACCAACGCACCACCCTCTCCACCAAAGGCATCAAGCATCCCAAGAGGTCGAAACAAGTCAACAACCAAAGATCGCCAATGCATGCCCCAAAGATCCCGTATATTTATGAGCCACCGTCGTCATCCCCAATACATGATATGTCATTCTCATTGGATGAGCTCGAGGGGCCAGCCAAGAACATGCCCGAGCAAAGAAACTCCGCCATGACAAGAAGGACACAACACTGTAGAAGGAGGTAGAGCAAACTCCCCACCACCACCAAAGCAGTAATGAAGATGAACAAACTCCCCACCACCACCAAAGCATAAGGAAGCAGAGCAAACTCCCCACAAGCACCGCCTCCAAGAAGGCAAAGAAATTTCCAATTCCAAAATTGGTTTCTCCCTATGAGCCAAAAAAGGGAAAGCAACAGCACGATTATATTTCTCAAAGGGCTTGAAAAGCGCGACGGCACGACGAGTCGTTGAGCTCGAACCATCACAGAATAAGGAAGCCGCCAAAGCAACCAAGCCGTGCCACCAACAAAGGAAGCCCCAAGTGGCGATGTACATGTCGAACCACCATCATCAATACACCATTGACCCTTAAGGATATAAGAAAGCCAACGGTTGATGATTATGTCAATGTCCCCAAAGAATTATGTGCCCGGAAGGCCTATGCTTTGCAAATGGACGGTGCTTGAAAAGGGTCCATGGACGATTAAAAGGTTTCATGATCGGTACATGAGAGCAAAGAATGCTTGGCCTGCATGCGCTTTAGTGTTGACATACCAGCAGATTTGTTTTTACTCTCGGGGCAAGGATAAAAGCGGGCATTTGTTACCTTCGAGGACATGCACCGCCGTTGAACTATAGGAAACTTGACGTCCAACTCATTACAATCTGGTGCCTGTAAGTATCACTCATGCACACACATTGTTATTATTAAATTTGGAATGTGATAAACTCTAATATGTGGATGTTGTATGTAGTTTGCAAGACCACGAGCAGAGATCGTTAACTACAGAATCGATGGCGGTTACACATTGAGTCCAATCAGGTTACAAGAAAATATGCACAAATTTGTACTTACAAATGAAGATAGAGCAAAGATAGAGAAGGACAAAACACCAGAACAAGTTGCAGAAGCTGTAAAGGAATTGCAACGAAAATACGAGGACAAATATGCCCTCTATCTCGGTAGAGCAATGCTGAGATATAAGTACAGGGATTTTATATTGGCACCCTACAACTTTGGGTAAGCGTGACCTCGTATACGTACTTCAAATTATCGTGTTAACCCTAAGTACATGTGTCGCCACACTCGCTTATTCATGCAAAGACCATTGGATTGTTTTTTATATTTATCCATTCAAAGGGAAGGTGCTTGTCCTAGACTCCTTACATTATCCTCCTCAGTCGTATCAAACATTCCTGATTCATTTAGAAAGGTGAGCCAACATGCAACCACATCCGTACTTATATGAATTAGAGTTTCTAAATAACTATAGTGTTTTATATTCGATATCTATAGGGCATGGCGGTTTTATAAGAAGCAAAAAGGACCGGTCGACGCCGCCCGCTCAGATCCTAGTGTGCCATTGACGATACAACACCATTATCCGGTAAGTTGTCCGAACACATATCATCATATAAATAATACACAAGGCATGACAATTTTAGTTTAATCTTTTGCTCGTTAATTACATAGTGCCACAAGCAACCACCTGGATCGGTCTACTGTGGATACTATGTGTGTGAGTTCATAAGGCAGCGGGGACGATACGTCAGGGACAAAAATATGGTAAAAAATATCTATGTATGAAGTTTTCTCATTAAAGTTGGAAATATTAATATTGGACATGTGTCAATGATGCTTTTAAACTTTGTTTCCAGCCGAGAAGCAAAGGAAAGGACGTGCCATTCACTCCAAAAACTATGGAAGATATAGTAGCAGACTTGTACGGTTTTATTATGAGAGAAATAATTCCAAGTACCGGATCATATTTTTATGAAGCCGGTGATTTAGCAAGTGAAAGATTTAGAGCGCTGACAGACCTAGCAGGTTTAAACTTGAAACGAAATGACATGTAAACACCAAATGGTTGAACTCATAACATGAAATGACGTGTATTATATGTAATTTTATGCTTGATGTTTGATTTCATGTGTACACATCTGTAATATTTATATGTGTTGTATGTATGATGCAATTTTATGGTTCATGTTTGCATATCTTATATATATATATATATATATATATATATATATATATATATATATATATATATATATATATATATATATATATGTGTGTGTGTGTGTGTGTGACAAATATAGTACAGTGTGGAGGCAAATATTAAAATTTGAAATAAAAAAAAATAATTACACAGGCGGCACAGAGTGAGCCACCTGTGAAAAATGAGTACACCCTTTTTTCACAGGCGGCTCACAGCCCGCCGCCTGTACTGTGGGCCGATTAGTACTGACCCCTAGTACAGGCGGTGAACTTGGCCGTCTGTATAAATGCCTCTACCACCGCCTGTGAAAACGTTTTCTGTACCAGTGGAAGACACCATCTTTACCGTCACAGCCTAGGCATTGAGCTGGTGTGATAAAGTAGAGCGGCTATTTCTGATAACATTGTAGCAAATATGTACGTATTTCTTTTCTTATGCATGAACACATTACAAACACAGATGCTTACACATACAAGCACCATAATGAATATTTGAGCAAGCTACATGAAAATGACACGGATACATTTATTCGTCTCGAAGAATACATACATTATTAATTCATACAGAAATTAATTGGTTTATTCGAGAACTACTAACAGTGGAAGATTATCTTCTAGATAGACTCCATGTCTCTTGAGACTTCGCTGTTCTAAGTTTGGATGAGGTAGAATTAACTTGGAACAGGAGATTATTGTCATGGACTTCCTTCCATGAAACCCGGTGGTGGTGGAGGGAGGGATGTATTGGGTGTTGACCCATCCTCTACAACGAACACTGCAGCCATGCCCATCGCCAAATGGAACTCGAAGTGGCAATGTATGAACCATGCCCTGTATGCACCAAACAAAACAAACCTTGAATTAGATCTCCTTGGAGTTCAACTTCTGTGTCCAACTAAAAAATTATGACAAGATTCAATCTTTTCAAAAAATGTAAACCTCGTTTTTGAGAAGTCAAATGTTCTCGCCATAAATATTAGTGATTTTTTATATAATTCGCTAAATTTTAGACTATTTGACTCCTTAGAAAGCGAGATATAATGTTTTTGGGATTTTAGAGGGAGTATATTTAAAGAAAACCATAAATTACGTTATAACATTTTAGTGGTTTATTTATAACATCAAAATAGTGAATATATAGTTGGTCAAAGTATCTTTGTAGACTATATGTCGATGTCTTGCTAAATGCCACAAATTTTGTACCAGTGATTGAACGGACGCACAAGCAAATCAAACACACGTACTAACCTGGATTGTCGGCGACAAATCTGATGGCCGCCCAGCCAAGATTGGGGACGAGGACGGTGTTCTTCCTCGCCGGGTTCACCAGGTTGAACTTGGCCTCATCCGTGGCCGCGTCATAGTTGCCGATCCCCTGCGCGAGGACGAACATGTCGTGTCCATGGAGGTGCATCGGGTTGGAGTCGCCCTGCAGCATGGCCGTGCTCTGGAACACGATGTCCACCACGTCGCCGTGCCTGAACCGCCGCACTACCGTCGCCCTGGACGTCGGCTCCAGCCGCATCTCCACGGGCCCGAACGGGATCAGGGCCGGGTCGGTGTAGTTGAACGCGCTCGGCGGATGGTCGGGGAGCCCCGCCGTGCCCACCACGCCGTTGCCGCCCCGGCGGTAGTAGTGCGCCTCGAGGATCGGCGTCGCCGTCGCGTCGTGGAAGGAGACGTTGTTCATGTTTGCAATCACCTGGTTGCTCTTCGGCTCGTCCCTCTCTTGCACGACTTGCGGCCGTGCCGGCAGATGGAGCCCAGCCCGAGCGTGACGTAGAGACGCTCGTCGGCGCGCGCCGGCACCCGCGCGCTGCCGGTGCCGGAGGCCCGTCAGGTTGCCGTGGAAGTAGAAGGACTTGATGGTGTCGTGCTCGTGCGGCATCTCCGGCGCCACGACGTCAGCGCGGCTCGAGTTGGTGACCCCGCCGGTATACTGCAACGTCCCTCGGGTGGCGAACTCTGGTGTCTGCGTGTCCGGCGGAGGCGCCTGGATCGGCTGGGCGGCGATGTAGTACCTGCCCGGTGCCGCGTCGGCGACGACCAGGGCGTCCATCGTCTCGCCCGGCGCGATCACGATGACGTCCGTGGTGTAGGGCGTGACGTAATTGGCGTCAGCGGCGACCACCGTGAACTTGTGCCCGGCGATCTTGATGAAGTACTCGGAGAAGAGCGCTGCGTTGATTATTCGCAGCAGGTACGTCTTGCCGGGCTCCACGTCCAGCACGTACCCATCTTCGAAGACGCCTGCAATTCAGCACCTTGTGAGTAAATTTGTTCATATATGTACCATGTGAAAGGAATTCTTTTGGATCTGCATGGACATACAATTTAATAGATGAACTGTGTTTTATACAAATTTGTTCATATCATTTCAAATATCTAGTCTCAACATAAATGAAATAAATTTTGAACCAAACATTTACAACCTGAATGAGGGAGGGCGGGGGGAGGAGTATATAATAAGGCCGGTCTCAATGGTCGTTTCATAGAAGTTTCATGGCCATTAAATAAGCTAACATGTCATAATATAGATGAAGAGATATGATAAATAATTGATAGGATGAATTGAGTTTCATGGAATAATACTTGTCTACACTGTTTTTAACGTATAAGAGTCTGGGAAATGGCCTAAGAGTAAGTGGGGTTAACTAGCTACCGGAGCAGTTGAAGAGATCTCCAAGCTTGCCGTTGATTGTGGACCCACTGGAGAATTCGTCGTATAGACCTCTCGAAAAATTCTGTCCACCGCTGCAAGGTCCTTCTCCCACCATTCCCCTGCCATGCACATATATCACAGCAGCTCAGCTCAGAAACTCTGCTGAATTGCTGGTAAGTGATATTTATTTATTCATTCATCGGTGAAAAACAAACCTATGAGAATGGGGATCTCTTTGTGAGGCTTGGGAAATGGGTAGGGCGGCGGCGCCGTTCGGGTCGTATGATGAGAGCGCCATAGATGGCTCCCCGGAGGAAGGCGTCGTGGGCGTGCCACCACAGGGTGCCTTCCTGCCCGGCGACGTCAAACTGGTAGGTGAAGTTGCCGTTGGGCCGGATGGGGCGTTGTGTGACCATCGGCACCCCATCGTTCCAACAGTTTCGCATCTGATACACTCCATGCCTGGATGAACGAAAACGGGCTCAAATATAGCTAGCACTTTGAATATCTACGTCAAGTTGGAGTTATATGTCTATGAAATTATTTAAAGGAACTGTCTAGTTATATAGTACATATAACGTAGGAATAATAAGATTGTTAAAGGAACGAAAATCACAAAAATATATGCCGAGCTTTTAGAGGGTTTAACAATTGAGATACCAATGGATTGTGAGGTTGTAGGGCGACTTGTTGACAACGTGCACGATCACTGTGTCTCCCTCGGTGACCTCTATGGTCGGCCCCGGCAACTGCCCGTTCACCACAGTGACCGGAATCTCGTTGCACATGTGCGTCATATTCACCTGGCTCACCTGCTCATCAATCAATGCAATTCCACCAGCGTATGCATGCATGCCCACAATGTTCAGTAACACACTTCAGCAGCAGCAAATTAAATAATACTGCGAGCTAATGGTCGTGCTCATACCACGAACGTGTGCTCGACGGTAGCCGCCGCCACCGGCGGTACGGCTGTGCCGGAGAGAATGATGGAGACAGCAACAACGGTGACAGCAGCTGCCATCGGGGACAGCAACGACGATGACGATGACCGAAATGGTTTCATTGTGTTGTTTTGCTGTGCTTTGTATAGTTTGTTTCAAATGCTCTGCACGACTACTTCTATATGTGGTGTGTGTTGATCTGTGGCAGGATGTATGTTTGAGCTGAATATATAGCAGCGCAGACATGGTAGCGTCCTCAGGAAGCAGCATGATCTATACGACTAAATAAAATAAATAGCAGCAACCTGATCAGGTCAAGATGAAACTAGTACGTGTAGTTACCTGCGTAATCACAGTTGATTTCAGAAGTCGAAGCACGTGGCTTTGTAATCAATCCTAACTGAGGCTTTGCGGCGCCACCAATCACTGCCTTGTCCCATGAATCATCCTTGCATATTATTATCATAATACTAAGGAAGAAGTCTTTTTTAGCAATACAACAAGGAGCTCTTGCATTCTTACCTCTGTTTTGTATTAAAATTATGGTTTTGCCTCTATTTTTTTAACTTTGTGAATTTACCCTTGTGTTTTCAAAACGAAGCACCACTTTGCCCCTATTCCGTCATCCTCCCCTAACGGTGTTAACTTTTATACAAAATGACAAAGATGCACATGTGATTTTGCCCCTGGTTTCTAAAGCTATCTGTGATTTAACCCCTGATTTATAACAAGATATTTATATTGTATTTTAACAAAAAAAGTGGTAAGATTTGGCTAAATAAATTTGGCACAATTTATAATTATTTTAAATCACTTTTAATATTGAAAAAATATTTAAAAGTTTAGTAGCATCTTAGCAAAATTTTAATAGCATTACGGCAACAATAGGAATCCATCGGTCGTTCCGAGATGACCCCGACACCAATGCCATGAAGAAATAATACTTCTGAAATGATCTCAGCCAAACATATCTCATTCGTGCAACACAGCAACAGGCAAATGGGACTCCACCAAGAAGCAGTCAAGAAATTTCGAACTGGAGAGCAGCCTCGACGACGACGACAGCGGCAAGTGCATGGACATAGTGCGGTACAGGTACCAGCAGCACAATAACGGAAAAGCTGCTAGCCATGGCAGCAAGCACATGCACTCCTATGAGGATGTGCATTGGAGAAGAAGCAAGGAGAGCACCACGTCGATCTCCAGGAGCCGTACGTCCTCTCTCACAAGCACGCCGTACCACAGCGATTGGCTGCCTACGACCGCGCCCCGCCAACGCCCCGCAGGCTGCCGACACCCCGTGCGACGCCGAAGCACTGCGGCACGCGCGCCGCTGCCGTCCTGTGCGCCGCGCGTTGATGCCCGGTGGCCTACGTGTCGTCGCCGCCCCGCGTGCTGCCGCCGCCTGACTCTGCTCGGTTGCCGTCCTGTGCGCCGAGCCGCACGGCACCCGCACCACGCGGTTGGGCCGAGCGCCGCGGCTAGGCGCCCCCACTGCCCTGCGCAGGCCGCGCCCCGCGGCCGGGCACCGCCGTTGCTCCGCCTGTGACCGAGCAACGCGGCCGGGATCCGCCTTGGCCCCGTGGGTCGAGACGAGCAGGAGGCTCAAGATAAGATAAGGGGCAATTCGGTCTTTTAGCCTGTGTGTTTTGGGATTTTGTTTTTTTTTAATTTATTTATTCCAATTCATCTAACAGACGTGCAAACCAGAGGCAAATAGATGATTCGTTTCAAAATAACAAGGTCAAAATCACAAAGTTAAAAAAAAAGAAGGGTAAAATCACAATTAGACTTCTGGATAGGGCAAGAACATAATTTTCCCATACAACAACTGCTTGGGTGTTTGTTTTTTACCACGAAACTCTCAAACCAAAAAGATTTTACCACAAAACTATCAATACCAGGCAGATTGGGCCCTCTAACAGGTTCCAAAGCTGGATTTGTATTTTACTCTAAACAATTTTTTTTAATTTTCTAAAAAGTCATACTAATTCATTCCATGGATTTGGACATCTAACTAGTTCCAAAAGGCCAACGGCAGCGCCAAAAATTTGGGCTGCCCTTTGGGGTGTGAAGAATGAAGATGTGCGGAGAACTTGGAAAATCTTGGGCTAGGGAACGGGGAATAGCATATTATTTCTCCGGCCTCTATTGATCATTTACTAAGGCAGGCATAGTTGCAAGGCTCTATAAAACCTTTCATATCTTTTTATTTGTTTATGTTTCATATATATTCTCACAATTTAATCTCAATACTTTCACGTGTGAAACACAAATAAATTGTCACAATTGAATCTCACAATTCAGCACCCACAAATAATGTAGCACGTTAATACTCAAACATTTAGCATATAGATTGTCTCCTCCAAATAATCTCAAGTAATATAAACATACTATCCTTCTATTACTGGAAAAACCATGTAAATATTATCATGCGTATATCAAACTAGGTCATATGGTCACAAACATTAAAGGCTTCTATGGATACATATGTATTCATCTGAATCCAAATGTGTTGAGATGGATTATGGTGGAAATTAAACTAAGTGGCTACATGTGCATCCAAACAAGGCCTAAGTGTCACACTGAAATGTATACGGCTCTCAAGCGCATACATCTTCAGAATATAATACGTTATAGTTATACTATCTTACATAAAATGGATCATTACAATATATAGATTTATGCAGTATTTCTAGCTATTATCTTTTCATCTCCATCATTGTGGAGCCAATGCATCATCTTGGTCTTATGAAAGGAGCCTTCTAAATGTTTCATCTTGTGGGGATGATTAGTAAAGAATGCGATCTCATGGCAATATGGTTGTATTCTTAGGCATCCTAAACTCTATCACTATCGGTGTGATTCCCATTCATGGGTTGCTCGATGAACAATTCTGTGACCATCACTTGTTGAAGGATGATGTGATGAGTTCGTCACACCATTTGGAAATCTTTATGAATGAATAATCTTCTTTCCTGTGCACCCCCTTCTAGGTGTCCTGCCACCGCTCCCTCCTTTGGAAATCCTTTTTCTTATGTAGTTTGTGCAAAAATCAACTATCTCCACGGTAGTGTATGCCCCGATTGTAGATCACTCTAGGTGAGCATGGCTTAGTACATATCCATTCAAAGTGAATATGAACCCGAGAGAGGAGGCGTCATAAGGAGCGACCAAGGAGCTAGCGATCTACAAAACCATGCTCATCGATGGTTTAGTAAAAATTGATTTTTCCTGATGCCAGCGATTGTTTCGTTGGCGGTTCATAAGGAGCAGGTGTCACTAGTGTAAAATACATGGGCGCGGCTTAATTAACACCAGTGTAAAACGCTTTACATACCAGCAGTTGAGTAAAGAAAACCGCCAGGCGATTTGCTTAATTGAACCGCCAGTGTAAATGCACTATTTACACTGGCGGTTGTCTTAAGTGAACTGCCAGTACATTTGTTTTACACTAGTTGTTCACTTAATGAACTACCTTTAACAAAACCGCAATAAATTTTGCTTCTTCCTCTTTTGACCAGAACTATACAGCCGAGCCACCTTCCATTGGTGACAAACTTGGTGGTCCAAAAATTGAAAAATCCAACATTACTACGTGTGCCACTTGCCACTTGTTATATAGTTTCACAAGCAACCATTAGGATCGGTCCTCTGTGGGTACTATGTGTGCGGGTTTCTCAGATAAAAATTGGGCGATACACCATGAACCCTAGCGAAGTAAGTATTAGTCATATGTGAAATTTTGTCGTTAGTGTTGCAAATGCATTGGTCACATGCAAATATATGATGACTACATTGTTGCCATTCAACGGATACACGCCTCCAAGATAAAAGACACCATCAACATATGTGAGGACATGTGCCGATTCATCATGCAAGAAATTATTGACTTCGAAGGGAAATATTGTGATGATACCTCTAAGTTAGCATAGCCATAGTACCGAGATCTTGTGGATTTTGCTAGGCTAGAACTAAACAAAGATGATTATTAGAGAATTCATGGAACTTATGAGTTGAAAACTTTGATGTATATATTTGGGTTCATGACTATGGTAGAATGAAGTAAATACTGTTTTTTCATGCATGGAAATATAATTTCTAGTGATGTATATTTGGGTTCATTTGAATTTTAAAATATAATTGCCTCTGGCCGGAAATTTAAATTTTTAAGAGTTAAATGCACCGTAGGTCTATTAACTTTTGGTGGTGCATCATCTAAGTCCATCAACTTTCAAACTGCATTTTTGGGTCCATTAACTTTTGGTGCTGTGTCATCCAGGTCCATCAACTTTTAAACTGTATTTTTGGGTCCATCAACTTTTGGTGGTGTGTCATCCGGGTCTATCAACTTTTAAATTGCATTTTTTGGGCCCCTAAACTTTTTAACTGGTTCACCGTAAGTTTATACCCCTTTGTTTAGCGAATAGATCTGACATAGCACGCCAAATAAGCAGCCACCATGGAGTAGGTGATGAGTCCATAGCTCCTCAAGATGTTTATGGAGACTTGTCTAGCAATAATTCAAATGTAGTAGCAGGTAATTCGTTAATATCCTCTGGTCTTAAATTTGGGACTATTATTTTTAAGGATAAATATATTGTGGACATGGAGAAATTTACAATTGCTGGATTATCATCAAAGATATTTTATAGAGATGCCTTATTATTGCGTGGAAAGGAGGAGAAAATGAAGCCAACAAAATACATCAGTACTAATTCTTAAGAGGTGAAGATCATCAATGGAATTTTCCCAAAGTGATTAGCATCCTTGCTGTAGTATTTTATTATTTCCATGCATTAGATTCCTATCCAGTTGTGATACATGATCTTTTATCTAGCATCTAGCTTTTAGTGCCTGCGTGCACCTGTGTACGTGAATCAAATTGGTGGCTGCATTTGGACGTGCCATGCATGTTAGCCGAATCAGGGACTCAGGGTCAATCGGTCCTAGTTGGGCTGGTGGAGTCCGAGTTTTGTTTGGGTCAGGTGGCCTACGTGCCTATACCTGTGGCCTTCGGCCTTGTACCAGGTAGATTAGACTGGATTTTATTGTGGAGTTTATTCCCCGTCGAGCCACC